CAGCCCAAACTTAGACACCCCGGCGCATCAGGGATCTAACACCTTTTGTGTGTTTACTGACAATTGGGATAGTCTATTGTAAAACAATCTTTCATTTCCAAGTCTTTCTCCACACATTTTTCTCTTGGATTGTAAGCCATTTTCTCTTCTTCTTCTTCTTCTTCTTCTTCTCCTCCTCCTCCTCCTCCTCCTCCTCCTCCTCCTCCTCCTCCTTCTCCTCCTCCTCCCCCTCCTTCTCCGTGTGTGTGTGTGTGTGTGTGTGTGTGTGTGTGTGTGTGTGTGTGTAGGCCACAGGAACTTAAGTGGCATCCCCAGGAACTCTGCTTATCTTCTTTGGGGCAGAGTCTCTCATTAGCTTAGACCTCACGGATCGGCCGAGACTGGCTGCGGGTGAGAGCTCAGGATCTGCGGGTCTGCCTCTCCAGCACTGTGAGTACAAGCCTGCACTACATAGCTGGCTTTCTTACATGGCTCCTTGTCCTAGTTTGCTTTCTGTTCCTGTGATAAACACTGTCCTGGCTAGTTTTCCCATAACTTGACTCTATGTTAGCTAGAGTCATCTGAGAGGAGCAGCCTCAGCTGAGAAAATGCCTCCCTAAGATCGGCTCTGGGCCGGGAAGCCTGTGGGGCATTTGCTTAATCAGTGACTGATGGGGGAGGGCCCAGACTATTGTAGATGGTGTAACCCCTGGGCTGATGGTCCTGGGTGCTAAGAAAGCAGGCTGAGCAAGCCAGCAAGCAGCGCCCCTCCATGCCTCTGCAGCAGCTCCTGCCTCCAGACTCCCACCTGATTTGAATCCCTGCCCTGACTTCCCTCAATGGACTGATTCAGGGTAGGTTCCCCAAATAAACCCTGTCCTCTATACATTGCTTTTGGTCCTGATGTTTCATCACAATAATAGTAGCCCTGACTAAGACAAACACACCATCATCAAAAGCATGTTGGGGAGGAAAGGGTTTATTCTGTCTTACAGTTTATAGTTCATCATGCAGAGAAGTCGGGGCAGGAACTGAAGCAGGAACCTGGAGCCAGGGACTGGAACAGAGATCACAAGGCTGTCTGTCTCTGCCATCCCAGTCTGGTGCTGGATTCCTGGAGGGTCTTGGAGAGCTGCTGGTTTTCAGTCTCCATCGGAATCCTGAAGATGCTGGATTTGATATCAGCTGAAGGAATGGAATACGTGAACTTGCCATCAAGAGTGAACACAAACAGGCAAGAAGCAGTTTCCTCTTCCATGTCCTTTCCTGTGACTGCCACCAGAAGGTGTGGCCTAGATTTAGGGTAGGTCTTCCTGCTTTAAATAGTCAGATTAAGAAAATCCCTCTCCGGGCTGGAGAGACCCAGGTTCAATTTTCAGCGCCCATGTGGCAGCTCATGACTGTCTATAACTCCAGTTCCAGGGGACCTGACACCTTCACATCAATGCACATAAAATAAGGTTAAATAAATTATTTTTTTAAAAAAAGGAAGGAAGGAAGGAACAAACAAACGAAGGAAGGAACGAAGGAAGGAAGAAAGGAAGGAAATTCCTCTCAGGAGCACCCAACAGTTAGGTTAGTCAATTCCACCTGTGGTCAAGCTGACAGCGAAGATTTAGCATCACAGTGTTCAGCAGCAGATTGTCAAGAGGCCCCAGTGCTGGTCACAGACAACTCATCCAACAGAGCTTTGCTATCTTTCTTTGCACAATCCCAGCCACATTTTAAAAGATTTTTATAATAAATTTCAGTTTTACTCAATTATTGAAAAAAAATAGCCAAATGAATGGAAACACATGAACTATGAACCAAAGGCTGAGGGGCTCCCAGCTGGATCAGGCCCTCTGAATAGGTGAGACAGTTGATTGGCTTGATCAGTTTGGGAGGCATCTAGGCAGTGGGACCAAGTCCTGTGCTCATTCCATGAGTTGGCTGTTTGAAACCAGGAACTTATGCAGGGACACTTGGCTCAGTCTGGGAGGAAGGGACTGGACCTCCCTGGACTGAGTCTACCAAGTTGATCACAGTCCTCGGGGGAGGACTTGTCCTGGAGGAGGTGGGAATGGAGGGTGGGCTGGGGGTAAGGGGAGGGCGTGGGACGGGGGAGAATAGGGGAACCCATGGCTGATATGTAGAACTGAATGGTATTGTAAAATAAAAAATATATATCACAAAAAAAAAATGATGTGTACATAGGTGTCAGTATGTAGGTATATGTACCACTGGAGGCCATGCACATGAGTGCAGGTACCATTGGAGGCCAGAAGAGGGCGTTTGATCCCCTAGAGCAGGAGTCAGAGTTCTGAGCCACCCGACCTGCATGCTGGAACTGAACTCAGGTCCTCCACAAGAAGCCAGTGCTCTTAACCACTGAGCAATCTCTCAGCCACATTTTAAAATCCGTGACTAGAATTCTTTAGTCCCACTTTAAACCCACGCTGCAAGTTAACCACAGTGCACATTCTGTGAAGAGAAGAACAGCTGTTTTTTCTCCTCACCCCTGCACCATGCCTACTTCAGCATGTAAGTTCAGGGGAGTGCGCCATGAAAGTTTGTTGAATGACTTACTGACTTCAGCTTATATAAACCCTCACTGTGTTGATTGGAAGATAGAGGAGAAGGTCAGAAGTGGGCTGGACTTCAGGGTTTGTTTTCTTTGAGGAATGATCTCTTTATGCAGTCCTGGCTGGCCCGGGACACACTGAATAGACCAGGCTGCCTTCAAAGTCACAGAGATCCGCCTGCCCCTGCCTCTTGAAGGTTGAGATTAAAAGCATATGTCACCACACCTGGCTTTTCCAGGGATCTTAGCCCAAGCCTGCAGGTGACATGAAGGGAAACCGCTGGCTGGCAGCATGCACCATGACTCCAGGCAGAATTCAGCTTCGTTTTTTTGTGCTTCCAACCAGAGCCCGGGAACCAAGTAGGAGCAGGCCCAGGGCGGTGAAAAGCCACGGGAAGTGCACTTGACTAGGTGTAGACCCAGGATTCCTGCCCTTAACCCTGCTCTCCTGGACTTGGGGTCCCTTGGGTGGGACAGCTCCAGGCAGGAGATGACAAAAGCTCGTACTGGACCCCTGTCTATGGGAAGCTGGGGCGACAGGCACACTGGGACAAAGACAGGGAATCGGTGACACAGGAGGCTAGTGCCACAGCTGGAGAGAACGCTGCTGTCTCTGACCTGGGTGGGAAGGACCTGCTGACAGAGAGCTCCCTCCTTCCTTACTGCAGGGCAGAGAAGGGCAGGGGCGCAGGGGGGTGCGGGGCGGGGGGAGCCCAGGCTACCCTGAAACTTATAATCCTCCTGCCTCAGTTATCAGAGCGCTGGGGCCAGGTGTGTGCTTTAGCTGACAGTTTTATTGAGACCATCGGAGACATGTGGGTGGCATCTTGACACCTGGGAGGTAGAGGTGGTGAGTTCAAGGTCATCCTCAGATGCTTAGTGAATTCAACGACAGCTTGGGCTCAAAACACAAAATAAAGAACAAACAATACAGAGAGACTGGAGACGGGCACCAGGGAGCGGGTGCAGACTGCCCGTCGACGGCCTTCAGGGCTCTTGTTCTACTCACGGTTGTGTGTGACAAACCTTGTTCTGGGTAATTAATATATCTTAATATACACACACATCTATTTGGGAGGAAGGAGCTTGAACCACAGCGTGGGTGTGGAGCAGAGTACAGCTTCATGAGGCTGACCCTTTCCTTCCAGCTTGAGCCTTCTGGGAGTCAAACTCAGTGTCAGGCTTGACCACAAGCATCTTTGCTGGAAAAGCCATCTTGCTGCCCCAGTTCTGTGCAGTTTTATGCTATTCATCTTAGTTAGGATCTAGAATGTTCCCACCACTCTAAGGATCCCTCTTGCTCTTCTTTAGAACTGCAACACTTCCCTAATAGTCCATCACTCCCTGCCAGCTCGGCGAGGGTCGTTTGGTGACCCTGAACCTGTTCTCCATTTCTACAAACTCTGCTGAGCCCCGCAGACACACTAGTGGGTGGCCCCTGCCCTTCCCATTTCACAGTGAACAAACTGAGGCCACCCCCAATGCCAGGCCAGTACTTTGGGTGGCTAAGACCAGAGTATGACTTCAAGGAGACAAGGGTGCTGAGTAGGGAGGTGACAGAGGCAGCTGGCATCAGGTACCGCCTGCTCTCCGCCCACTGGGACCTGTCTGGGGTGGGTGGGGTTTCATCCCTCTATCCTTCCCATCCACAGCCTTGTCTGTTTCCTCAGCAGAGAAGCCGTGATGGGTGGGGCACTGCCTGGAGCCCCCGCTGCCTGGTCAGTGAGACGGTCTGTGGCTCCTGCAGAGGCCCTGAAAGGGAGCCCCGGGGTCGCACTGGGTGAGTGGGGGAGGCTCACACCTCGCATCCATGAAGATGCAACGAGGCGACGTGCGAGGAGCAGTCAGCGAAGTGCCAGGCGCAGAGAGGCCCGGCGCGAGCGCCCGCGGCTCCATTTGGCAATGAATTATGTATGGCCTGCTGGCTGCGCGGGCTGGCGGGCTGCGGGCTGCTCTCTCCAGCAGGGGCGCGGCTCCCGGGGCTGCGGGCGCTCTTTGTCTCTCCTGAAGGGGCCCAGCCAAGCTTCCCTGGTGGTGGCTAGGCCCCAGGATGCCCATTTCTCAGGCCAGACAACCGAGGGCACCCAGGGGCTCCGAGGCAAACTGCAATGGCGGGCGCTTCTCCCAGCCTTCTGTGTGTGCCCCAAGGTTGACAAAGAACCTTGAACTCATCTGAAATTGTGTGCCCTGGAGGTCCTGGGAAGGCATCCGAGGGAGAGTGGATGATGGGTTAAATAGTCCTCAGATGATGGGGCAGGGTACAGAGGATGTGGGCATCCAAAGCAGAGCTCTGCGTGACCGGAGAGGGCCTTCTCTGGCCAAGTTAGAGGAGCGGGGATCGCACCCGGCCTGTGGCAAAATTTCTCTGTGCCAGGTTGAACGCGGTGGTTAATGTGGCGGGAGGCAACCCCTTTCGCCCTCCCTCCCTCCCTCCCTTCCCGCCTCATCTCTACCCTCTAGAGGGGATGCTTGAGGATGTTTCTGCCTGTGTTTTGAGCACGGGGGACGCTGGGCCTGGGCTGGAGCTGCAGGAGAGCTGAAGATTGGATGGCAGCATTCACTATTCACCTTGAGCAAGGTGGAGGGCGCGGGCGGCCTGTGGTCAGGAAGCAGGCCCCAAAACAGAGAGCTCAGACAGGGATTGGGGGTTGGCTGAAGAAAGGAAAGGCGCTCCGGACCCTCCTCCTGGCCTCCGGCTTCCTGTTTGCCCTGCTCCTCTAAGCCTTGTCGGCAGCCATGAAGATCACACCCCACAGGATGGCCCCAGCGTCAGAGACCAGGCATCTTGTCACAATCCACAGACCCTTCCCGTGCAGCAAGCCGGGGCGTGCCCATCTTTATGGTTGCCATAGCCTTGTTCAACGACGCTCTTGCCACCCTGGGCTCAGCCCCAGCTCCACCCATCTACTGCTTAGCCCCAGGAAGCGGCTGTGGAGGCCCCTCTGCCCACGGCACTCCTTCCTCCCCCGGAAGGAGCCCAGGTCAATTCAGGTCCCTCCAGGGAAGCCTTGGATCTAGGGTCCCTTGTTCCCTCACATGATAACACCCACCCCTTGACTGGAGCTCTTCCTCTTGGCGGTCGGTCCCCTCCGGGCTGTGGTCTCATGAGGAAGGAGTGTCACACTGGTCTTCTCAGAGTGGGTTGATGGGATCTATTAGAGACAACCCAGAGTTGAGAAGACAAGAAACAGCATCCTGTCTGTAAACACACATGGAGACACATTCACACTCACATACACACATACAGACACACAGACACAGACACAGACATACTCACATATACACAGAGACACACACACGTATACAGACACACAGACACACACACATACAAACACATATACACACAGACACACACACACATACAAACACATACATACAGACACACATACACACAGACATACACATATACAGACACACATAAGCATACACACACACACAGATGCACACACAGACAGACAGACAGCAGACAGACAGACAGACACATACCTTGAAAGAGTGGGCTTGCTAGGCCTTTCTGGCCTGGGGTACCATTACACCCAACACACTGGCTCCTCTGGACATGCAGGGTGGGTGATCCCGGGTATTCTCCATTGTCCTTCAGCACAGGGCATTGGACTCAGCCCCAGTTCTGTCGGACAAGTTTAATGTTCCTATCATGCGTTAACTTTAGTTTCGTATATCTCTTTTATGTTTGCATGTGAGTTTTTGTTTTATTTTTGAAGCAGCCTGACCTAGGACTTACTTGTTTTTTGGTTTTGGTTTTATTTTGAGACAGGGCCTGGTTGGCCTGGACATGCCTACCTCAGCCTCCCAAGCACTGGGATGACAGGTGTGGCCACCATGCCAGGCTTGACTTGTATTTATTATTTACAATACTGGGGATAAACGCAAGACCTTGTGTGCTCTAGGCAAGCACTCTGCCACTGAGATCGACCTCTAGCCCTTGGTTTCCTAGGCTGGCTTCAAACTCCCAACTCTCTGGCCTGTGCGGTCTGTGCACAGTGAATCATTACTGGGCTTCTGACGCTGGCATCTGGGGCTTCAGATCTTGGCTTCTCTACTTCTGCCTGCCTGTCTTTGAGAGAGCTCCTCTCTGCTCTGCTTCCTGACCTATAAAAAACGGCATTTGCTAACGAGGGGGTGGGGAGATGGCTCAGTTGGGCCTGCCATGAAAGGATCAAGATCTGAGTTTGATTCCCAACACCCACTTAAAAGCCAGACACAGTGGAATCTCTTACCCCAGGGCTGGGGAGGCACACCAGGCAGATCCCTGGGGCTCGCTGGCTAGCCTAGCTGAATTAGTGAGGCCTGGGTTGAATGAGATGCCCTGGCTCACAACACAAGGCTGGAGGGAAGATACTGGACAGCCACCTCTGGCATCCACAGGCTTGCACACATGCACATGCAAACACCCACGTGAGCATATACATACTACCACCACCCTCCACAAGACAAAAAATAAAATAAAAATGAAAAGGTGCTAATCAGAGGTTCGTTTGGATTTCTCTGGCTCCTCTCGTCTCCCAGGGCCTCTCCTAGGGAGTGTTAAGCACATTAAGATGCAACCCGAGTCTGCACAGTGCTCAGAGCAGGGCAAGGCTGAGCGGACCCTGGTTGTTATTGTTACTGTTTCTGGCTCACCCCGAGCGCCTGCCCCAACATCCTCTTGGAGACTCTGGGGAATTTTCCAGAGCTGCAGGGCTGAGCTGGGCACAGATGGATCTCAGAACTCCTGACACTGGTTTCTTGTCCTCATCCCCTATGTCTTGAGCACACCTCTCCATGACTGCTTGCGGCAGTCTGGAAATTCTGTCTTCCTATGCTGACTCCTGTGTGCTCTTGTGGGTCTTTGGGTTGGGAAGGCGAGGAAGGACCTGGAAGAGCATTTTAGGATTGAGCCCGGACATTCCAGGCTCAGCTCAGAACCCTGCCCTGGCCTCCTAAGCAGCCACCTGCCAAGCATGTGTCAAATTCTGGTTCCTGCAGAGGAAGGCCTCTCGCGGCACCCGGTGCCCCAACAGGACCTTCTCCCTGAACGTTAGCCAGCAAAATGGAGGAGTTGGGGGGACTGTGAACCCTCGGGTAGAAGAAGGAGAGATGTACTCTCAAGGCTGAGTCAGGAGGCAGACAGACTCAGGGGCCTTTGGCATCCACAGAGGGGTAGGGGTGTGGGAACCCTCCGAGGGTGCCGGGCAGGGGCTGTGGGCCAGGCCTGGGAGCCTCGGGGAGGCCGGCAGGCACAGAGGAGGCCTCCCACCAGACACTGTCTAGACGCAGCAATTATTGTCAGCTCGGAACACCCAGGCTCTGCCTGTGCAGCTGAAAAGGAGCTTAACAAAGAAAGAGAGAGGAAGAAGAAAGCCCAGCAAAGCCGCTCAGAGCCTGCCTGCCCGCCTGCCGCCCGCCTGCCCGCCCGCCCGCGGCTCTTTCTCTGCCTGGGCTCCCCCCTTTGTGCTCCACAGGCCCTGTTGAGGGGGACTGATCCCCGAAGCTCAGAGATGCCTGGTGGGGACGGAGCAGGAGACGCAACTCTGGGGCCCTGGCCAACTGTTCGGAGCTTGGCTTCTCACAGCGGATGGTGGGGAGTCTGGGTCGCTTCCACCTGAGAGGGCTCTAGCCTGCACCCTTGTCAGACTAGAGGGCCTCGGGCCTGTGACTGACAGCCCGGCCTCCATCCTTCTCTGCTTCCAAGGGTTCAGGAACCATTATTACATCCACACTGCAGATGGAGTTAGGGATGGGGGGAGGTGGGCTGAGCTCAGAGTCAGCCATGGTGTGGATTCAGGTCTGTCCTTTAGATCAAGGCTTTATGCGGCACACCCCTGAGGAGGAGAGGAGAGGGTGAGGCTGAGCAGCAGGCTTGACTTGACGGCAAGACTGCTATTCCACAGGGCAGGCCCATCAGAGCTGGAGGACAGAGGACTCTGGCTCCCTGTATGTGCTAGAACCTTCTCCGTCCTCTGTGTTGCTGTTCCTCAGACCCTCCTCTTTGGTGTCGCTGGCTGGGGGGTAGGGGTGGAGCCTCAAGGTTTCTGTGGCTGTGAACACAGCTCAGAGTCAGCGGATGCTCGGAGGGAGAAACTGAGACCCACAGTCCCAGGGCTTGATTCCAAGTCCTCCGCTCTGCCCTGGAGGGCGCCTGGGACTCCACGCTCTGCTCTCAGCCCAGACTGCAGCCCTAACTCTCTCCCTAGCTTAGGCTCATGGCTGAGTGGGACCGGTCTGTGCTGAACTCTACTCCGTATCTTGCAGGACAGTCCCCAGCCAAGAGTTGGGGGTGGGAAATAACCTAGTGAGGCTGTTCCTACTCTTTGGGGAGGTGAAGTCCAGGGCAGAGCAGTCCAAGATGGCTGCCGGGGAAGGGTCAGAGGCTGTCAGGACTCCAAAGTGAGGGATAGCTGAGTCCCTCCCAATCCATCTCAAGTGGAGGCTTGGCCCTCAGAGCGAGAAACATGCACATCTGCCCTCGAATCACACCCCAGGGCTCTTGACCCATGCCCGATGCCTTCCTGGTCTCCAAGCATGGGCCCTGCCTGGCGTGGCCACACACTGTATGAAGACGGCAGCACACACACACTGTCCTTGCCGTGACAGACTCAGAGTCCCCTCCTGGCACTGCGGACCCACCCCGATCAGACTCAGGCCACCACGATTCTAGCATATTCTGCAATACCACAGCAGTTCCTCCAGCCCTCTCCCTTCTCCCCGGCACGGCCAGCTTCCCCACCACCCCCTCACTAAGCAAACCTGCCCTCCTGCCAGTCTGCTCCTGTGAGCAGTCCTCTCCCTCCTGGGCAGCACCGGCCCCCATTATCACATAGCCAGAGCCCAGGAGGCTCCCTGATCCTTCCTTCACCCCAAACCGTCCTGTCCTCTGCACCCAGGGCCCAGAGGTCCCTTCCTGGGGAAGGTTCCCCCGGCTTTCTCCTGATGCCGGCACAGGGGCTCCTTGTTCCCCACAACCCTAGGGAGCTTGGGGGCCTGATCTTTCTGCTCTGTAAGCCTTAACTGTTAGGCCACTTGGATCTGAGGCCTGGACCGGCAGGCCTGCCTTCCCTGGCCCTGCACTAGTGAGTTAGTTATCTCAATAGGTCCTCAGGTACCCTTCTCTAGGAGACTTCTGGCCCCTGCTGAGATCAGACCCCTCCCCAAACCACCTCACCAACCTGCCTAGACCACTGATGCTTCAGTCTGCTGCCTGCTTGGGGGCAGCCAATGCGGTGTTTTTTTTATTACGTGCCCAGCTCAGCCTCCCCTGAAGGAGTGTGAGCCCTGTGGGCCGGCAGGCAGCCTCTGTCTTGTCTGGCACTGTGAACCCTGCTCCCTCCTCTGAGGTGCCTTTTCAGGGAGAGAAGTGACTGGATCCCCTCCCTGTCCAGGCACCAAGACATCCCTCCCGCTTTGTCCTCTTTCCCAGAGCTTCCACGCTGACTCCCGGGAGTCACCATGAAGACCAGAACCAGGACAGCGCCACTGTGCCACCCACTGACCTGAAAGCACTCCCGGGAGACTGTGGCTGCCCTGGGCCTGCACCCTCCCTCACGCCCCTGAAAGGCAGGAGGCAGTGACCCCACATCTATTCCTTTCCCAGAACCCTTGCTGGGGCTACCTCAGCCTTCCTCCCTCCCCTGGCCCTCCGAATCCTTTCTCTCCTCCTTGCTCCCCCATCTCTTCTCTCCTCTCTTCTCCTTTTTCCTCTCCTCCTTTCTCTGAGTCCTGCCTGGGCCTCCTTCCTTTCTTCTTCCTGGGTTAAAAATAATCAACTTTCTGGGAAGCGGCAGTTCCCGCTGAGCCGCCCTCCCCACACTCGGGAGCCCCTGAGAATAGCTTTCCGCGGCTCTCCACTGAACCCCTCCCTCCCTCCCTCTTCCCTCCCTCCCTCACTCCGCCCCCTCCCCGCCGGCTGACTAATAAGCCGGGCAGCCGGCTCTGCCAGCTCGCTGCAAGGGCGTTAACCGCTTCGTGCCCGGGCGGCCTGCAGCACGCAGCGTACACTGGAGGGCTGGAGGGCGCCGGGCCACCCGGAGCCCGAGCTCTGGGCCGCTAGTAGACACTCAACTAACTTAGTTCAGCTAAACTGGGTGGCTGGATGAACTCTGTCCTCTAACTACCACTGCAGGCCTGCTGCTGCTGCGGCTAGCTCCCGGCTTAGTAGGAAGGAGGCAGGAAGAAGACTGGTCAGGTTCGGATCCCCAAGGGGATGGTTCCGGGCCATGTGGAGGGTGTGACTGGCCGGGTGACTTCTCAGCCCCAGACTCTGGGAGACACCGGAACAGGAAGAAGTCAAAAAATCAAGAAAAGGCTGCTTATTGCCCTGGGATCCACGTAGGTTCCCCCACTGGGACGGTCTTTGACAATTAAGAAATTGCAGAAAGGGAAACTGAGGCCCAGTGGGTGCGACTCAGGCCAGGATGCTTCCGGACACCTGCAGCAGTGCTTGAAGCTCAGTGGTGAAGGGGGCTGGGGATCTCTGTCCCTCAAGACTGGGAGAAGAGTCGGGGTGTCAAGGTCAAAGGTGAAGGGTTGCTAGGGAGAGCAGAACGCCAGGAGGAGCAGCAGCGTCCACTCAGGACCCGCCCACTCCGCGTCCCGGCATTACCTCATCACCAAGCGCGCCCATTGGCTGGTTCTCCTGGAGGCCGGCCCAATGCGGCGGAGCACATTAACCCGTTCCTCCCTGCAAGCTGCGCTCTGCCACCCACCTCCGCTGCCCCCACGCGGCCTGCCGCGCCCGAGAGTTGAGAGGATGGGGAGAAGTGAAGGAGACTCAGGCCTACGTCCGCAATGTCCCATGGGTGCTGTCTAAGTGGGACAACCCTGCCCTGTTCCGGGCTGTGTGACCTTGGGCAGACTGCTGCACCTCGCTGAGCCTTGGCTTGTTTTTCTCAGCTGTTGAAAGAAGTGAATGATGTAACTCGCGCCCTTCCTAATCCCTGCCATGTGCTTGCCAAATGCGGGGCACACGTGGGCTCTGCGTCCCACAGTGCGCCTCAGTGCAAGCGGTACCTTTGGGAAGATGGGGTTTCAGGAGAACTAATGGCTCAAGGTTACACCCAGGCAGTGTCAGAGCTGGGTTTCTCCTGGGCTTCTGCTCTGCCGGGCAACGGTGCTTTCCACAGGAGAAGCAAAACTATGCCCAGATGGTCAGATCCCAGCAAACCCCCTGTAGCTGACCAGTGACAGCGGAGACACTGTCTCCGGGGATATGATCTGGGACAGAACCCCCCACGGCAGAGGACCCTGGGGCAGTTACAAAGAGGAGGCTGAGAAGGTCTGAGGTATTGCAGGGTCCCCAGTGGGTGGGGCAGGGTCAAGGGTCAGCTACTGACCCAAAAGACTGCTGCTCTGTGGGCGGTGTGGGAGTGGAGGCAGGAGAGTGGGCAGAGGCCCACAGGCCTACCTGAGTGTTTACAAGTTATAAACCAGGCTAGCAAACAGCTAAACCGAATTCCTACCCTCCTCCCTGACAAACCCACGTTCCTTAGGACAGACACAGGCCTCCAAGACTGTGTCTGTATTTCTAGTTCTCATTTTCCTGGCGTCCAGAAGGAAATGTGCAGTGGCTAGCTTCCTCCCAGGCCCCTCAGCTCTGTTTGTCCCATCTCAGGTATGCAGGCTGTGCATACCTGAGAGCTGTGTGCACTCCGGAGTGGGTGGGCACTACCGTCTGGGAGCCCCAAGGCCGCATCCCCCAGACAGCCATCTGATGGTCACCTGAGGCCTGAGAGTGCCCACATGGCAATTTAGACAATCCTCAGGTCCCAAGAGCTGGGCAGGGGTCTCTGAAGAGGGAGCTCCAGGACCTAGGGTATAGGGCTCCAACCATGCTGCCCCCTGAATCACCAGTTTGAAGTGGAGGAGCTCCTGCCAAGTGCCCTGGGCTGCAGCTGCAGCTGGGGTGGTCTTCGCTGGACCAGGGGCTCCTTTCTTGGAATTTTCTTCTGCCCTTTGCTTCTAGCCACACCCACCCTGGCTAGATCCCAGAAGCCATCACAGACTCACCCTCTGACCCTAAGCCACGCGCCAAGCCCAGCTTGCCTCTGCCCACTGCCCAAGCCTGTGCCCACCTGCTCCTCTTCTGCCCCCTCCCAGGATTCCTCTCCCACACACCAGGCCCACCTGGTAGCCCTCCCTAGATCACCCGGGCAACCTTCCTCTGTAGCAGAGCTGGCTTCTAAGCTGGGTTCCCTGTCACATCATGTCCCACTGATGGCCAGCTCTTCCCGATGCCCCCTTCCATCTCATCTGCTATGGCTCTGAGCTGCAGGCAGTGGCCCCAGCTCTTTGAGTAGGTAGAACACATTGCATTCCTTTCTGTACTGGGGCTTTGTGTTCCCCACTTGCTCAGCTTGGAGCCATGCTTTCTGCACCATCACCTCCTGGGGGGGGGCTTTCCATGACCCCCACCCCCACCCCGAGCCCCGCAGAAACCACACAGCAGGAGCTGATGATCTATGGAGCATCCCGTGGCCAACTTGCTTCACTCCGGCCAGTGTGCACCAGGAAGCCGGGATCAGGAGCCAAGCTTGCAGCTGCTCCTCCTCCGGGTCTCAGCAGAATGCTTTGCATCATGGAGGGGTCACTGGGCTTTGCAGGGGATCGCTGGATCACAGCAGACCACTGGACTCCAGGTCCTCCGAGAGAACAGCTAGGATGCACCATGTGCTCTCTGCTCTTCCTCTTGGAAGCCTGCCTTCTGCACCAGCACTGACTCCTCACAGCCCCTTTGTCAAGGGACCTTGTGTTCCCATTCCCTGGGACAAGGACACTAGGCACAGAGGTTCTGTGACACAAGGAGGCAAGCCAGAGACCCAGATCAAAACCAGCTAGTCCGTCTACCTCCTAGCTGCATACAGAGGGGCCAACATCTTGCTGTGGGCAAATGTCTCTACCTCTCTAAACGGAAGTTTTTCTTTGCACAGAGCAGGACTGGCCTGAGGGGTGATCTCTAGAATTCCTCCCAGTACTAACATGGGGGCAGGGACTGTGTCTTGTGACTGTCAACCAGTTCCTCTGATGACCTGACCTGCAGCTAGCACCTGCCTCCAGCCATTCTCCTGGGCTTCTCTATGAAATGCACCCTGCTTGTCTGCCAAGGAGCAGAGGCAGGGCAGCCTGGTAGATAGAACTTGGGTGGCTTCAGTGTGGTCCGAGTGTGAATCTTACCACCTCCTTGAAATAGCAGTGTGGCTTCAAAGGCTCACCGTCCACCAGCCCGTTTCTTCACCTGCTGTGCTTCAGTGAGGTCTGGGTGCTTCCTGGGCTGTAAGGACATCACCAGCACCTGGCTGTCATGTCAGAATGGGGACATGAGGACTTTGGTCCACCTATGTTCTCAGCTTATCGGTCAAGTTAGCCACACGGTTATAAAACGTCGTCTCCATTCAGATGCACTTCCCAAACTCATCAGAGAGGCTGGACCTGAGACCCAGTCAGATGACCAAATTGTCCTATCACGCTATCATGGGACCAACCTGTACTGCCATCACTCCGTCACAGGTGTAGGAACCCCTGGATCTAGAGTTATAGATGTTTATGAGCTGCCCGATGTGGGTGCTAGAACCAAGCTCTGGACCTCTAGAAGAGCAGCAAGTGCTCTTAACCACTGAGCCATCCAACCACTGCCTGCCAAGTTTGCCCTTAAGCACCCTGTTGCCTGCTAAGGCAAAGGTGTGCCAAACATATTTAGAGATAGGGAATAGAACTGATAAAGAAAATTCCAGAAGGAACTCTGGGATTCACATGGATCCATACGTAACATGTTTAAGGACTTGTTTGTTTGTTTGCTTGCTTGCTTGTTGAGACAGGGTTTCTCTGTGTAACAGTTCTGGTGTCCTGGAACTCATTTTGTAGACCAGGCTGGCCTTGAACTCACAGAGAACCACAACCACCTGGCAAGGACTTTTATTCCCCACCTTTTTTTTTTTTTTTTAATCAGAATCTCATGAAGCCCAGGCTAGCTTTAAACTTGCTGTGCAGTCAAGGATGACCTTGGACTCCTGACCCTTCTGCTTCCATGTCCTGAGTGCTGGGATTGCAAACTTAGGTCTCCACGACAGGTTTCGTGCAGCGTTTTTGACCAAACACACGACCTGGTGCACGGTAGACCAGCACTCTGCCAATGCAGCCCCCGGTCCTCGCCTAGACCATTCTGAACGAGCGTGGTGGCTCCTGGGCCACCCCCAGCCTCCCTTCCCAATTTGCTCTCACAGCCTTTACCCCCTCGCTGCCTGTCTCTGCTGGACTCTGGATGCGGTGTGTGTGTGTGTGTGTGTGTGTGTGTGTGTGTGTGTGAGACTGCTGCCCCATCCTTCCTTCACACCCTCCACGCACAGTTCAGACTCTAGGGAGGGGAGAGACTGACCTTCCCAAAGCCCAGTGCCCACTCTCCTCGGGTCTTGGTTTCCCCATCTCTACATAGGAAAGGATGTGCCTCACTCTGAGTGTTGATGCTGGGTTCCTGCTGGGCCCAGGGAACAGGGGCAGTGGGGGTGGGGGGCTCTGCAAGCATGTTGACTGGTTACTTCTTTTTCTCCTGTAAGTTCACCCACCTTTTTTGGCCACACAAAAGATTTCCTACCAAGACATTGCTGAGTTTTTACATGGTTACCTTCAGTATTGTCCCATTTTATAGACGAGAAGGTTGAGATCCAAGACAGAGGTGACTTTAGGGCAGTATCCCTGAACTGCTGTAGGGGTCAGAGAAGTGGCTGGGGAAGGGTAAAGACTGGCCCACAGGAAGGACAGCCCCCGACTGAATGGAAGATGGGCCTGGGCAGCGCTGACTGTGAGGTGGAAGGGGTATAGGCTAGCCTCTGAGCAAGACTTG